TTTAAAAAAAAAAAAAAAAAAAGCCATGACTCATCTTAAAGCGAGCTTGTCCTTCAGGTAGCAAAATTTCTAGTTGAAGCACAATCTGGGCTTATAATCAGAAATGGGAGCAGTATTTGGTTGAAGAAATATGAGTGTGATTCAGTTAATTGACTGCATGGCATATGCTGCGGTTTCCCTCTCAAGGCTGCATGAGGATAACGAGATGTGAAGGAAAGCACCTGGCCTATGGCTTTTTTATGTTTTGTCTACTTCTCAGTGTAATGGACGTCTCTCAGTAATGTGCCTGCACAATGAGAAAATATAGACATATCTAGCATAGATAAACTGCGCTTCCATATAGATGAGACTTGATTTGCCAAATTTAGAAGGAATTTTGAAACAGAGTGACGTCTTTGCTACTGGCTTACTTTCATGTTGTCACCTAGAATACTTGTAACTCACAGGTGTTTTAATGGTAGAGCTGCAAGAATGAACCCGAAGTTACCAGAGCATCGCAGTATACTTTGGCGACAGGAATACAATGGGGTCCTTTGTGGTTTAGCTTCAAGTCTTTGTGTGTGAATCAACATTCAAAATAAATTAACACTCGTGAGCTGGCATACAAAGTGGACCTCTGTAGGAAATAACTGTAAAAACACTAGCTTGGTGTTCTCATGTTTTGCGCTACATTTCCCATGTGGCCTTATAACCTTCAACTGCCCACCTTGTGCCTTGCAAGTCTGGTTGTAAAATGGGAGTAAGAAGTGAAATGCCTTATAAGAATGATGTATTTTTACAACTTTCATCAGTGAATTCACTGATCTGTCAAAAATCAGACAGAATTATGTACTGAGAGTCTGTCTCCTCAGAGCCCAAAGGTCTCAATCCTCTTTCTTTGACAGTGGTACCTCACAATATAACCTCGAAGTAAGAAAGAGTAGTTGCATCGTAATTGCATGCATGACTACAAATTTGATAAGCAAGGCTCAAACTGGTAACAAGTTCATTGTGTATCAAAACAGAAAAAGGGGTTTGTTTGCTCCTCACTAACTAGTGAAAATGCTTTGCATTTTACTTAGGTTTGTTGTTTTTTTTTTAAATTGCACCACCATGTCCTCCTGAATTCAGCTCTGGTAATAAGCTGCACGATCCCAATTACCTCTGTTAGCAAGTTGTGTAAGTAGCATTGCATTATCCCAGGCAGTTACGTGAGTCACAGCCATGTCAAGGGTTTGGGATGGAGCCAAAACGAATCGCTTCAAGCTGAAAACTATCTCTCTGCCTCACCTCCCACAGCTATAAAAATGTCACCCACCCATATATCTCAAATGCCCCTCATTATGAAGCTCATCATTCATTTCAGGATGGATGTTCCACACAAAATGTGGGTTTTCTCTCACTTAATTAAATCGCCAGCGCCAGCTGGTCTGCAGCCTGGGGACATCACGGCAGTACCAGGGCGCGCAGCAACCAGAAGCGCAGGGACGTGGTGCGGAGGTTCCCGGGGAACCCAGCCTCTGTGGCACGACGCCACCTTCCCGCCCCTCAGCCGAGGCTCGCCCCGGAGACCAGGGGGCGGCCCGCTGCCCCCCACAA